ATTTTCATTTTGGTTGTTATTATTATGTTTGTGTTTATTATTATTATTATTACGGTTGTGTTGTGTTATTGATAATGTTATTAGTATGGTTATATTGATAATGTTATTACAATTGTTGTTTTTGTTGATATTATTGTTGAAGGAATTATTGTATCCATGCAATGTGTTGGATGTGATGGTGATCTGTTGGGCATCACAGCCAGTCGACAGACCGTCGGCCTCGCAGATTGTCTCGATGACGACTGCACCCGAATTCACGCATTTATTAGATGTGATCTCGTTGAACGACGCCGATTCGAGTGTAAATTCGTCGGTTTCATTTCCGAGTTTGTTGATTTGTTTGTTGTTTGTTTATGTATTGCTTTGTTGAGGTGTTTATTGATGGAGTTGTTTGATAGTTGACAGATGAATATTTCAGCGGTTGACGAGACTGAGATAGGATCGAATTTTGAGGATAGTGTTGAGGGAGAGGTGTGGCTGAGTCGATCCGATGGATCGGTGACTGTGCTTGGTTGTAATCAGTACGGATGGCTCGATTCAAAGGTGTTCTCTTTGATTCATTGATTTCGATCGAATTTCATTAACAAACTAACAGTTTTATTGCAGAGTATAACGGTGGGTGTTGATGGCACGATAATAACAGCAATGTGCGTTGTGAGTGACTCCATTTGGCTAGCTGAATCGACGGGGATTATACGAGTTTATTGGTATCTTTTTGATTGATACTAATTTGTTCAGAATGATGACAGTTGTGATAATATTTTCATTGATGGTCAAGTTGTCAGTAATCTATCAGTAGGAGTTAATGATAATTAAGCTGTTTCAAATTTCAGTCGATCCTCCTATGCAGAGCTGTATTCGTTTTCAATATCACGATTCCTTCCGTCAGCTCACCTCTCGATCAGTGTTCTGTCACTGACGGTATTCTCGCAATTCCCTCAGTTGATTCTTGTCTCGCTACCATCAACTCTGTTATTATTGCGTGGTGATCGATGTATTGATAATCCTTTCGTTTCCATTTGTGACACTTCTATCATCTATTCATCAGCCGTTCTGGATACGAATAGTAATAACAATAATATCAGGTGGTTTTGGATTTTGTAGATTTTTAATGAATATATTACAGTGATCTTTTTGATACTCCATTTGTAATATTGTTAATTTATATTTAATGCAAAATTGAGAATGTAACGTTAACATTGGGTAATGAATGATAAAATTATCTAGGTAAAGTTACAATTTAAGGTTGAAGTTTGAAGATTTACTGAAACTGTTAACTGTAGCAAATTATGAATGTACGCGTAGTGAGCATGTATTATAAAAATTAGGAATTTTAGAGAACGTTTGCGTCATTATAAGGTTATTATTGTTGTTGTTACAGGCAGATTTGGACAGGGCATTGTGAGGGTGCGATTTCGGTGTATACAATTGGCGCAGATGAGAAATTCCAATTGAGCGATAGTTTAACGCATGGCACTGCAGAGGGTGCCGGTGCAGGGCAACATATGGGCACCGTTTCACATTTGGTCACTAGTCGAGCAGATCCCACGCTCGTATGGTCTGCGGTTATTCCGGGCAGTAAGGTTAGTTGATCGCAGGGTTTTCTCTGCTAGAAGTGTGCCAGTGCGCAATCTGAACAAGCTTCAGCAGTCAGGGTCTAAATTGAATCATGGATAAGCTTTAGTCAACGCGACCTAAATTATGATCTAGCAAAATATGAAGTTGAGGTTGTCGTAATGGTGTCTCTTGGTTTGACATGGTGATTGTGCTGAGCGCTTATAAGATGGGATGGTAAATTGATAAAATGGCTGAATTTTCGCCCTTTAAATCAAATTTTAGGTATATCAATGGTCAATCGTTGACCGTAAAATTCGTTCGAAGTTGGACGCGCGTAAGATTCTACCCTCATCAGAGTCGATCTCAACGTTGGACATCGAAGCGGCTCGAGACGGTCATGTGACCGCATTGTCGTTGCTTGATAAGCCCGATGGTGCACAACTGTATATAGGTACAAGTAAGGGGGTGGTGATTGTGGCACAGGCTCTTCAGGTAATCTTTCGTAACATTCTGAATTTTCTCTTGGGGGGATTGACATTATCATGTAAGATTTAAAGAGGCATTGGTTTTGTATCTCAAAGATTCCAGTGAGAATCCAAAAAATTTGAAGCAGTGCAGCACATCCTTGGCTCTCAAAAAGGTATAAGATTCCTGAGATTTGCCAAGGGTGTAAGATTCCCTGCCGTAAGGTTCACGTGCTCTGACGATCATAAGCTGACGAGATTGTTTATTTTGCAGATGCGACCGTTAGCTGCATTCCGTCCATATCTAGAGGATGTTCATTCAATAGTGGTATTGGATGGCGCACTAGCATTATTGGAGTTGAACTGTCGCGGTAATCGACAGCGTGATATGAACAACGTGAGTGGACTGAGTGGTGTAAGTGGATCTGCGTCGAGATCAGTGGGAGGTATTAGCACGAATAGTGGAAATGGCAACGAATTGATGATGGACACTGTGAACTGGGTCAAGGATCGCGTCTCGGAAACTGTCAATCGATTCAGATTGACTTCGAATGATTATCAGCAATCGTCAGGCAGTTATATCGTGACCATTGGGAATGGATATAGGTAAGGCTATTATTATTATTGTTGTTGTTGTTATTGTTATGTATAATTATTGTTGGGTATATTTTGTGATTGGATTTAATTTGAGATGTCTGATCGATCGATTCACCGATCAAAAGCATCAGCGATCAACACCACCAAGACGCGAGTCGCACTGTGCGATTATATGGCGTACTGATGACTGGGTATCATGAATGCATTTACGATAATACACACATTATAATAATCCTCATTCAAGTCATTTCACAAGTCATTCCATAACGTTTACTAGCACAACACAACATCAAACACATCGTTTTAGGCTCTCTGCTCTCACTTTCTTGTATTTATGTACGTATGCACATGTGTTCGCTCGGCTGTCGATTGCTGGGCCAATTTTTCATTTTTAATATATTCAAAATCATAAAGTATTTCTCAATAATATCGATGGAAAACGCAGTTGTTTATTAAAACCGGCAGTTTACGAAGAAAGGTTAGAGCGCAGACGGCGTAACCTACTCTCCTGGTCTCCCCCTGTAAAACTCACTCGCACTGACCTGCGAACAGAGGTTAGAGTGCAGACGGCGTAACCTACTCTCGTTCTCTGCCCTTTGTAATAATCAATCGC